TCTTATAGCAAAATAGGGACGCTTAGGCTAGCTAAGCGATCCAGGGATTTCCTTTGGTTAGCATCACGTGACTCGCTTGGATCATGGAGGATCATATGAGCCAGTGTGAGCCGGATCAGATGGATCATGGTGATCCATATGATCCATAGAGAACGAAGGTTCCATATAAGACTGGCACGTCTGCCATTAGATAGGAGCTTCGTGCTCAACTTAGTTATCAATCTTATCATATTAGTTTGACATCTTTGATACAAGTAACGAGTTCACTTCCAAGTGAACAACCCGATAGTCTTCTTCTTATCATAGCATACCAACCAGCGAACACCCAGCCAAGTTTAGTTAGCCAGTTTGAGTATTCGTTACAGTAATTTCTCTAATCTGTGCGCGCTTACTAATTAGTGTTAGTACGAGAGATACTCGTAAATAAGGGTTAAAACAGTAGTAACAAAGGCATATAAAAGTTGGTATAATAGTTGATTAATTGATGTTATAGAAAGGACGAGTACTAACTATAAGTACTCGTATATAAGCTTTCCGATATCCACGTGATAAAAGTGGTGGATATATCGCAACACTCACTAAGCAGATTTATGTTGCTGGCATGTGAAACTAATTCTGGATTTTTAGTTTGATATCTAGTTACGCCGTTTTAGTCGGACTGTTTTTCAATGTGCTTTTAGATATCGTCATGAAGTCTAGGTAGACTATAAGCTGGGTAGCCAACGCTTAGAAAAATGGTCCGCAAAATCTGCTAGACCACCGAGGCCTAACCGTTGAGAAACTAGCAAAACCAATCTAGACAAATATGAGAGATCTGAGATATATAGCCAATAGACTCGGCATTTTACCCAAACCTCAAAATTTACAACATTTGCATCTCCAATCACCTAACTACACTTCATACCTTCGCAAATCCTCCAACGCCCAATATGACTGAACCACCTCGCCGACTCTCCCCCATCACCAATCCCGACGACCTTAAATTCTACAAATTTCCAAGACCACTGAAGGAAATCTTGGAAAACCCGATCAATGGCTATGAGATGGTAAGTAGCAGAATCTTTTCTCGTAGCTATCAATTCTAAGAGCATCCATTCCAGGCAAGAGTAACATGTCCACACACAAACGAATCAGCAACCATGACCGCCGAACTCGCCGGCGCCATCCTGACAGCAATCAAAGAAAACTCCGGAGTGAAAATCCAGCAACCATCCGACGACGAGGACGAAAAAGACTGGGGATGTCCATTGACGAAACCAGACGCATTCATCGCAGTCGGGAGATACAAGAACGTCATGAAGGAGGATGATGATATCATTTCTGGATGGGCCCATATGAACGCAGCCTGTCGATACGCTAAGAAATCACGCCAACTTGGAATTCTGCGACGCGATGAAGAGGATCTCGTGGCGGAGATTATGGAGGAGCAGACTGGGAGAGTGATTGAGAGGTTGGAGGTTGAGACGAAGTCGCATAGAGCGAGGATTTCGAATCCGATTAAGAATTTTGAGCAGATGGAGTATGAGTATGTGAGGGAGTATTTGGAGAATTTTGAAAGGAAGAAGATGGTTCTTAGTCGGGATGAGGCTAAGTTGAAGAAGGTTCGGGCTGATATAAGGGAGCTTGGGGAGGCGCCGCTGAGATTTGTTCCTGTTTTTGAGTATATCCCTGGAAATGAAGAGTTTGAGGAATAATGTGGGATCTGGTCATGTTCGATTTCAGAGGGAACAAGAAAGAGTATACCACAGAAGCATGCATGGTTACAAAGTAAAAAGGATATCTTACCGGAGCTCCCTCTTAAGATCTACCAGGTGGTCAATGCATGAGGTGATTTTACTATGGTAATTTCCTGTAAGCCAAACTATCTAGGAAAGAATACCAAATGGGTTCAGTGACAAATTTCGTATTGATATACTGTTAATCTTCTGATAGAGAAGACCCGCACTGCTGAGTCCTGTAGATTGGAAGCTGAAGCTCAGCTCACGTGTGTCCAACTGCAGAAACTTTGGAAAGCTTCTAGATATAGTACGTGGAGGAGTAACATATTTATCTCATGATGCCATATGCTATGTTTTCTGATGCTAATGACTGGAATCTTGAACCCATAAGCTACCTCACTAGAAAATGGAAATATTCATGATTTATTTTACCGTTTACATCACGTAGTCTCTAAATACCATCAACATACTATTCCTCGGAACCTTTGTCCACTCTTTCGAGCGAAACTTCACCTCCCGGAAAGAAACAAGACCCCCAGAAGGTTCAAAGCAAGAGGAATACAATCATTGACACCAAGCTACACTGCACCGCACAAGGGTGATCTGAGCGAGTCGAAACATGAACAAACATCAAGGTTGAGCTCAATAAATTTGAAAGGGGTGAAACTTAAGACAGTTGGATCAGAAAGATTGCACGTTCTCAGGCAAGATCTTACGAAGAGCATGTAATAATCCATCAAGCTTCAAAGGAAGACCTTTCTGAGAATGGACGTCTGTAGAAGGAGCGTCGAAATATTTGAGTGTGCATAAGGAGGCTATTCATGTGGGTCGTTAATCTCTGTGGCGTTTGGGTTTCGGGCGGGGGTGGACGGGTGGACTTGAAGATCAGCGCCTCCTGAATAACTTTGTGTGTTTATCATAGTGAAGTTAGTCCCAAGTCCTCAATGTAAAAGGTGAGAATCCAAAGAACCCCAGCCGCCGGGTTACCTAGCCAATCGTAGTCGATGATATCACAACGCACTTCGACATCCAATTCACTCCTTTTCCCTCTTCCATCCAGACATCTGGAGACCACACTGTCCACCAACATCCCCTCTGAAAACCCATCGAGACGGATGAAAGCCCAACAACGGAACTGGAACCTCACCTTCAGCCACAAGGAAATTCAACAACAGCAGTCGCGCTAACTCGCCCACGACCGTCCACAACAAATATTAATACACCACCACCACCCACCCACAAAGCATGGCCGAAGTCCCCCGCATCTTCCCAACCCATAAACCACCTCGACCACACACAACACCCCCCAAATCCACTCCCACTCCATCAAAACCCCGGCCCCAAATGGACACCCGCACCTCCTCATTCAGCACCTTCTTCGAGCGCGTNCCACCTCGACCACACACAACACCCCCCAAATCCACTCCCACTCCATCAAAACCCCGGCCCCAAATGGACACCCGCACCTCCTCATTCAGCACCTTCTTCGAGCGCGTCGCCGACCTAACCGTCAACGCGCGGAACAACAAATACGAAGACCCCGCCAACACGCTGCGCTCTCTAGTCCTCCAACAAAAAGAGCTTGAATCCCAAACACGAGAGCTCGAAAAGAGGTACGCGGAGGCCGTAGAGGAGAGTCAGCTTACCTACAGAGCCTACCTTGCGGCTGGACGAGGGCACTCGCGTCAGGCGGCGATGGTGTTCAATGAGGCGTGGAGGGCGAAGGAGAGGCTAAGACGCCAGATTGTGAGGCATGGGGCGTTGCTGGAGGGGGTTAGGGTGGATATTGCGGTGCTGAGGGAGAGGCGGGAGTGAGTGGTGGTCGGTGGGAGTTTAGCGAGTTTTAGGGGGTGGATGGTGGGCTTGGCGTTGAGTGAGGGGCTTAGGGAGGGGCGGACTGGATTTGTTGAACGCACGATTTTTAGTGGTTGCCTCATCGATTTGGAACTTTGGAGCTGGGAACGTTTAGCGAGGATGGGAATTGTTCGCTCGAGGATTTTCGATGCTTCATGTGGAGGCTGAAAGGGTGGTTTATAGGAGCTGTTTTATCAGCTGCTAAACTCAAAAGTGAGGGGAGTCTAAAAGGATTTTAGTCGCTTGAACGCTTGAAATTCAAAATTATTCGCAAAATTATACGTCTTAGATCTTGAATGGCACCAAGTGAAGCGTAGAATAGTCACTATCAAGCTACTAACCTTGCGATGACATCGAACAAAATGTCTCTTAAGAGTTCACTTGCATTGTAGACATCAATAACTTCTTCATACCACCAAACCGATACACAACCTGCATTATGTGACCTTTCTCTTCATCCCAAGCTTCAATATCCCCAAGTCACACAAAGAATCTTCTCAAACCCATCAATTCCCTTCAGCAATCCATCCCCACCAAAATGGGGCTCATAACAACCTCCTACCTCCTAAAAACTCGTCTAAAACTCTACATCCTAGACACCTACCGTACCATCCACCACAAATCCTCCTCCCCCTCACAACCCACACCTCACCCACCAAAAACAAAAACCCCCAACCCCCTCCGCCTCCAACGTCTCAACTTCGAGCGCCGCACCCTCACCACACCCCATTGGATCCGGCAACCCCTTCGAAAACACATAAAAGAATACGATTGTCCATACTGGAAGGAACTCGCAGGGATTATTTACTATTCGACGTTTTACTTGCCTGATGATGCGAGTGGGATGGCGGAGAAGCGGCAGAGGTCTTGGGATGAGATGGGGTGGTTTTAGAGGGAGTGGGAGGGGGAGGGTGGTGAAGGGGAGTATGGGGAGTGTTTGGATAAGTGGGTAATGGGGGGGGCGTGTTTAGGAGGGGGCAGGGTGATGGTGATGGTGAGGTTTAGGGAAGAGTTCTGGTGTTTTGTGGGTTGNGGTAATGGGGGGGGCGTGTTTAGGAGGGGGCAGGGTGATGGTGATGGTGAGGTTTAGGGAAGAGTTCTGGTGTTTTGTGGGTTGGAGTTTTAGGAGTATTGGGAGTATTAGGAGTCTGCACACACTTTTTCGATCGTAGACTCCGATGGCGAGGTATCTTGGGTTGCGAAATGGAAACCGATTTCAGATCGAGAGTTTACTCCATCGACATGATAGATTAGATTTCGAATACACCATCTCAGACTTTATCTATCCACTAAAATCGTGTCGTCAAGAATGATGAGAATAGAAAGTCACCAAAGCAGAAACTACCACCAAGCGATGAAATCATAGCAGTCATCATGACGTTTAAAAGAAAAGAATCTTTCAATACCAAACCCCCAAGTCTTCCCAACCCGTTCTCAAAAGCTCAAGGAGCTCGAGAAACCTCATCAAAACCACACATTCCCGAATACGAACACCAAACACAATCCGAATCGCCTCAACCACCAAAATGTTCGACAAGCTCCTCTCCTCGGTCCCAGGCTTCCCAATCTTCCAAAAACCCAACCTACAAAAGCTCCACCACAAACACAAAACCCTAACAGCCCAACTCACCACCCTCCAAACGCGCCTCCAAGAAACCACGGCGAAACACGAAAAAGCAGAGCAGACACGCACCTACAACCACGACATCGAGACACCCTCCAAAGAAGCAAAGCGTCTCATTCAGGAAATAAAAGAGACCTCAACCCTGAAAACAAAAATCGCCAATGTTCAAGGAGAGATTAGAGAGGTGCAGGCTGTAATCGAGTATCTCACGAACAAGAAACGCGAAAAGGATGCTCGTGTGGCAAAGAAAGAGGAGGAGATCACACTCGAAAACCCATTCGAGGACCCTGCACCCGACAGCGCATTCTCCGAAAAATCCACCCTTGTAATAGTAGACCACTCTGCCTCCACCCGCGAAACCCGCAGGCTGGAGCGGAGCTTTGAGATCGGAAAACGGCACTATGAAGATGTTCTTCGGCAGATTCGCAACGACGAGAAAGCCCTGAAGGACGCTCGCTGGACCGCGTTTCAAGATGAAGAGAAATTGGATAAGAGATGCTTCAGATGTGATGTGTGTCTGGATCAGATTGCGAAGGCAGAGAGATCGCATGAAATGGCTCATGAGGCGGAGGATGTCATGAGGGAGACGATTAAGGCGCTGGATAGGGCTGAGAAGGAGATGAAGGATGCGGAGTTGAGAGTTACAAGAGTGGGGGGGCATGGGAGGGAGTTGGAGGATGAAGGGTGTTGGAGTGATTCGTAAATCATAAGCTCTGGGACAGCCTCGAGATAGCTTGAAAAGTCTGAAAAGTCGATGTCCAGTAAAAATGAAAGAGTTTGTCGAAGGTCTCGGTCACGCTTTGAAACGTTGTCAGTAGGTATACTTAAATAGTAATTGATGAATACTCTTACAACTGGTCTAATCTTACACACAACGTAAAACCTGTATATATGCTTGTCGCTTTATTTTCGTGAAATTCGTTAGTCTTTTTTCTTTTCTTCGGCAAGCCGAGCGAGACCCGCTATGGAGTTGTCCACGCCCTCCTGAAATCCGATGGCTTTCGATATCGCGTTTGCCTGTTCAAAGAACTTTCGGGCACCAGCAACATTTCCATCCATTTCTGCGAATTCTCCTAGATTGTGGGTTGCAACAGCACAACCCACGTCGCATTCCCCAGTCCTGTAAGATTTCGGAATCTTATCGGCAATTGAAATAGCCTGGTTGGTCCATGAGCGAGCGTTACTAATGTACGTTGCGCGTGAAGCTGGGGGCTGTCCAGGCCTTGATGGAGGGACTTGCTGTGCAAGCGATATTGCGAGGTTGTTCACTGGAAATGTCAGCAATAAGAATCCGGGGCACGCGTGACTCCAACCTACTTAAGATGACCGTATGACAAGTATTGGGTGGGGACCTGGCAATTGCTTGCAGAAATAAAGGTGCTGCAAGATAGTGTGCGTTTTTCTCTTCAAAGTGATGGGCAAGTTCTGGATAAATGTTAGGAGCAATCAAATCCATTTCAAGACCTTCACACACCTTCAATTTCAGCCCCTATCTCTTCAGAAGAAAACCATTCCCCCTCGCTGGGCTTCACTCCCTCTTTAATACGTCTTTGCTCCTCCATCAGCGACGTCTCAACGCCCCACATCAAACACTCCTCGGCCTTAGCTTTGTCCATCACGTATTGATTCGCGTACAAGTCTGCCAACTTGATGCTTACACGAACTGCACTCATCAAGACCCTGGTTTTCTTTGCTTCATTTCCTTCCTTGTCTCCCAGGATTTCAATCCATTTCAGATTATCCGCCTTCACAATTTCCAATACATCTATAGACTTTTGATACAGGTGGCTTTTCTCGAACAGATACGCCAATTGTATTTTGATACCAATTATCGCGTCGGAGAAAGGATCCATTCCCAGTTCGTCCGCCTCCCGCAACGCTTCTCGGTAATAATGCACGGCTTTCTTTGGCTCGAGGGAAATAGTTGTGAAATGAATAGCCTTCCGCATATGCTTCGCCACCGGTTCCGGAAATTGACTAATATGTGGAAGAAACTGAGTGTGATACCAGAAAATCGTCCACCCGAGGCATCCAAAGGCACTGGCAATACTAAGCAAATGATTAGTACCAATTTAATAGATCTAGAACACCATATATTTCGTACACCGTCAGGGCCATTGGTACCTGGATCGGATGAAGTCTCCATGCATCCATTAAAAGTTTCACCAATTGACTCCGGCTTCTGGGACGGAAAAAAGTGTAATGGGTACTCGAATGTCGCATCTGGTGGGATATGGGTATGGATATGGGTTTGCGGCGCATGGCTTCTAGGCGTTGCTGGCGAAGACATTGAGGGGCAGAACTCGATATCGAGCGGACAGTCCTTGATATCCGTGAGGCGAACATTTCGCAATACCAATCTCTCGATCACTGTGACTGCAGAATTGGTGGAAATCAAAGCCGGGAAAAGTTTGGTCCCAATCATGAACTCGCGCTGATGGTTCCAGGAACAGGGTGACAGGAAACTTCAAATTCCATCCATGCCTTTGCTACAAGGCTGAAAGTGAGAGATCGCCGTACCGGTAGCCGATGCGATTACCGATTCTCGTCGGTCCGACCACGGGCCGAGTATCCGATAACTCCGAGACAGGCTCCGCTCGCTTTCCCTACCTACCTTCCTGTAGCCGCGCCGTAATAGCCCCACCCCCGCCTCCGCCTCGACCCCGCTAGAAGTTTAAGCGTTACCTACTGGTGCTAGGTACCAAGTACTCGAGTACTTCCGAGTATATCCACATCTCCAACATCTTCAAAATCAAGCTCCTGAATCCCCAAATCCCTTCAACCTGTCAAACCAAAAATAGAGACCAATTCCCGATCACACCAACACCAACACCAACACCAAGCACTTTGCACTTTCATCCTCCGCCTCCAAAATGTCGGCTTCAGGCAAATTCCAGCCCAAGACGCCCGTCAACCTCGACCCTCCAAATGATGACCCTATTTCACAAGAGTTCCTTTCAAAGTGTAACGGTGAGCACTCACACACACCCACAATCGCGCATCCGAGCCCGGACCTGAAGCTCTCCGCCGTCTGGTCCTTGCTCAAGCGCCATATTCTCCACCAGCTTGTAGTTGTAGTTGTTGCAACTCTTGCAACTCTTGCAGCTCCTGCAGTTCTATGGCTGGCCCCAATTCTTGGGCCTTCGGCTTGCAGTTGTCTCTGCAGTGGCCTCTGTAAACCAAATGCGACTGCCACTGACGATAGACAGGAGTTGATGGCGGTTTGTGCTACGTTGCAATCAAGGTAAACACGGACTCGTTCATCCCATGCCAGATTTCCCGGGCCGTCGCTCCTATCTGAGCACATAGGCTGATACCAAAGGGCTTGAGTAGGGCAAGGTATTCGACGTCACAGGTAACAAATCATACCAGCCAGGCGGCTCTTACCACGGTGCGTTCCCGTTCCCGTTCCCGCACTTGCAATAACAATTGCCTTTTCCTCCACCCCTCCCCTCCCTCTTACAACCCAATCCCGAGAACGGCTTCTCTTTTTAAAGAATTACCCGAGTCGCGTCGGCAACCCGTGCAAAACCATAGCTGATGTTGTGTCCCCATACACAGTATTTGCCGGCCATGACGCCTCCCGCGCCTTGGGTCTAAGCTCGACCAACCCGGAAGACGTTTCCCCAGATTGGTCTACGTTGTCCGAGAAGGAGAAAGGGGTTCTTGAGGACTGGCTTACATTCTTTTCGAAGCGATATAACATTGTCGGCAAGGTCGAAGGAGCTACAAATTTATAAAGTCCCGTTGATAAAGCCACTTGGATCACAAACTGAGGACCTATGTCGGGATTAGGATTGGCAATATTTGCACCCCCATATTCCAAAATAAGTAGGCGATGAGCTACGAATTAAACGATTTTCTTTCAAGCTTTCAATATTCTCACATCGGGCTCGGATATACCTTCCGTTTCCTCTGTGTTTTGAAAGAAAACGTGAAGACCACTGGACAGGAATAGATACCCGTCTTATTTTCGGTGAGGGCTGCATAATATCGATCCTCGACCTTTGGTCAAGATGCGCCCACATCTCCACCTGTCAAAGGATCTCATTCTCACCCAAAAACCCTGCATAAAATAGAAGGTCACACTTATAGTATGGTAGCGCTCCGCCTCCGCCGGTTTGCAACGCAACCTGAAGTGGCACCACAAGGCAAATATTCTCTCGAAGAACTCTGCTGCATATGCGTTTTTACACAACATTTGTGGGGATAAGTTCTGGAACCAATCTCTTATATTAATGCTTATTGACCTCACGTTATTCTCGCTTGGCACTCGCAATTGAGCTACAATGGTATGTACCACAACCCCTTTCCAATTCGTCGACGTCTGCAAGTTGAACTTTCAAAACCTCCATTTTTATTGCACACCTGTTTATTACCAATAGCGCTGCATACATTGCCGGGTCTTTTCACCAGTTATTGTCCAACGACACGAACCCATCTGGCGTTTCCCTCTATCATAATATATGTTGCGTGTAGCAAAGAAAGACATTGGTCTAGCTGGAAAAGATTCTCTATGCCACAAGACCACCAAACCAGTTCAACGCTATCCATCACACACCAACAAGAAAACTTACTTTCAGTCCTCCCGTATTTAACCTCTACCGTCCGCCATGACCTGTCCTATTTTGGCAAGGGGGGCAAGGGAAACTCTGGTTCCAGGATTGCTTGAGGACCTTGACCCCAAAGCATTGGTGATATGGATCTGTGCGAGCGAAATGACAATACGAAAGCAGGCGACTGGTGGCGTGGCCGCAGGTAAATTGAAATTCTTCCCAGTCGCACATTTTGAAAAGTCGGTAAAGTGCACTTGTGAATTTCTTGTCGGTAATTGGCAGAAAGCTTCAAATCTGGCTTTGGTGGGAGATATTGAGGCAGGTGTGAGCTGGATATAAAGTAATCGTGGTCTTGGTGGAGGATCGCGTTCTATGTCGTGTGATAGGTGACACGATCAGATCTTGCGGAGCACGCTTCTCGATCCCAGAGATGATAGCTGGTTAACTGTGATGCTCTTGGTTGATTGAGAATCGGTTGGGAATCTGGGCTGGGTATTAGCATGTCTTTACGTGAACTCTCACTCAAAGAGATCACCAACCGTAAGCTACTCGAATACAAAGGATTTGGTGTGGTAGTACTCTCAATTCATGCAGAGTTACATGAAGCCGTGGTCCGGATATTGGTGCTGATGGTGCTCAAGTGTATCTGAAAGAAGCGAATCGTTTCTGGCGACGAGAGGATCTTGTGATGAGGAATTGAGTTACAGACCACGAGGGTCATCGCTAGGTCTTTATACCCCATCTTTCCCCGCCAACAAAAAATACTTTCTCTTTGAAGGAAAGGAGGGTCTTGGGAATCGGACTGGACTCCTGACCTCCGAAATTACACATCTGTCATTTTCCTTTTTCGACCGCTCCCTTGAGCATGCGGCCAAACCTCAACTCCTCCAATGCGTGGTGTGGTTTGGGTCTATGCTGACGCCTTCCAGCTGCAGCTCTTCTGAATCTGTCGCCTCTTTGCACGGATGCGCAGCGGATGGAACTTCCGAATGGCATCTTCGTGCTGTAGATTGCAGATTCTCATGGCGGGGGGCCTCGCTTTGAGGAGCCAAGCGGCTCTCGTTCGTTTTCCTGGAGGGTGGAGAGAGGATGCAGACCCGTCTAGGCGCCCGAGACAAACACATGCAGGAGAACCGTTCGGATGATGGGGACTTCTTTGCCTCAAGCATGGTGCCTTTCTTGTTGCCGCTGACACAAAGGGGAGCCATAGGAGGGTGTAAATAGTGGACGGATGGTGTTGTAGTGGTAATACAAGATAGACATGACTAGGGGAGTATTGACGCAAGCCGATGGAATGGAAGCCAAGTAATCTTTGTCAAAACAAGCGACTGCGGCTCGTGATCTGAGGCGATGGTCAGGAAAGGGGTGTCAAGCGGGTTTTGGCGTTTTACCCGAGCCCCGTCGAGAATAGGGGGGCGATCACGGATCTTCCAGGACTCTAAATCAAGTGGATCTCCTGTTCGTGAATGATTGGGGGTCCCCTGGTCTGGGGATGGGCAAATGTGCAACGGGAACAGGAACCGCAGACCGGGTACTGGGTATCGCAGGTTCCGGATAGTAACGAGACCGAGGGTGTACATGGCGCTTTTCTTTTGTTGGGGGGTCTTGCATGGAGGGGATGCGTTGCTTGTGACAGGATAGGTTGATGATGATGTTGTTACCTTGAGGATCAAGGGGTCTTGGTGTGTTTTGCTCATGATGGCGTTGTGTGTGTGTTTGTTTGCTGCGAGCCGGTCCTGATACCTGAACGGCCTTCTTTTTGGATATCGTATGCCATGCGGCCTTTTTGGACGATGTGAATCTCTCGCGATGGACGTTGAATCTTTTTCTGTCATATTCTGAGGTATCATATTGACATGACTTTTGGATTACTGGCTCGGCCCGCTGAAGAAGAATGGAGAGGAGTTATTGGGTCGAGGAGCCGTGCTGGACAATGACTCGAAGACGACTGCAGCTAGAATGCATCGGAGGATTTATCCTCATCTGTACATACCGTACAGCCACAGTACGTGGCGAGCTTTCCGAGCGTGGGCTTGCGGACAGTGATGATGAATGGGAGGGAAGTGATTTTCGCGAATCGGATGGTTGGGCGAGATGGGTCGCCTTTTATTCTAGATCTCATCTCCCGCCCTTCGTCTTGGAGAGAATGGGGTGTACCGAGTGGATAGGTTTGAGATCGGTTTGATCTTGGTTCATCCCTTCTTTGACTGGTCCTGGTTCGTACTACTACTTCTAGGACCCCCCCCCTTTCTATGCCGTGGGTGGTTCGCGAACACCCTTTCGCCTCGTTTTTTCCCTTCCACTATCTTATGATTTGACTTCGAAGCGAGGGGTAGGTGGGATTACGGAAGTTCCTCCGTGGCACGACTAGGTAAGGGATTTGCTCTTGATTCGTTGGTTGGGCGCGGGTGGTTTGATGGCAAATCAACATGCAGTGACGGGTGTTTGCTTGCTTGCCTGCTTGCTGCATCCAACCCCACGTTTTCCCTGGTCTTTCTAACGGCCGAGAAAGTCACAGAAATATCCTGGGGCGGGCAATATGTGAAGGCTTGGTTGGATTGCGTGTTTATCGCATGTTTAGGGATGGAAAGGTAGTTTTGGGGGGTTGTGTGGGTGGTAGCAAGAGTTGGAGCAAGGGGCTCCTTTCATGCGGGGGGCCATTTGCCGTGGGGTTCTTGAGATGCGATTTGGGTATAGGATTGTGTTAGCGCGATGTGGGTGGCTGGGATGCGGTCAGATAAACACCACCTTTAGGTGAGGGAGGCTCAATTGGATTATCCTTGCTTGGATGGGGGGTTAGTGGACTGGTTGCGTGATGGTTCTTGGTTTCTTCTATGCGTCATGGTGCGTTTATGTATTTTTCGACTTCTGTTGAAAAGTGGTGTGAGAGGGATTTAGGAATTGATAGAAGGAAAGTTGCGAAAGTGCAAAAGATCTTTGGAAAACACTTTGGGGTCATGGAAAACACTTTGGGGTCATGGAAAACACTTTGGGGTCATGGAAAATGAGATATCAAGTTTTGTGAGTCTTACTGTCTCTTACAAGATCTCGTGCTTCGATTTAATCTAAGCCCAATAGCCCCAATGGAGGACGGCTCGCTTAGACTTCGTTGGGGGTAACTTTCAAGTTCGGATAAAAAAGAGTTTCTTCCATTCAACGTAAATTGGTACAGTTTTGGATTAGTGACCTAATCAAAGTGCTGTAAATCGATGCTTCTCGCCCGAAGTTAGCATCGTCAACATCATGCTTCTCAAGGTTGTTGAATCGTAGATGTTTATCTGACGGAAGTTCAATATTGCGTGATCATTTAAGTCGCCCACCTACCATCAAATAAGATTGGCGTGTATCTAATTGGTCACTTCATATGACCAATACTGCATTCGGTCTTTAGTTTGAATGGACCAGGGGGAATATAGAATACGGGAACTTACAAGCACCCCGGAGGGAAAACACTCCCATTTCTTCCATGACCAAATATCTCAATACAAGCTCAAAGAGAAGAGACTCAATGCCTCTCGAGGACTTGGATCATCATTCGTTTGACTGAAAATACTTTCTCTTCCTAATCGTGGGGACAACTAGATATCCTAACACCACATCCATTGAAGCTTGCGTCTCCTGGTACCTAGAAAAGCTTCGCATGTCTCGTTGGACGTCAAAAGTGGCAGACAAGGAACCACTGACAGTAATGGAATGGAAGTCTTAGAATAGTGATGAAAGATCAACCAGGTAGAAAATGAGTATTGTTAATACTATAGTCCTCGGAGAAAAACGCTTCTACTTCCTCGACGACTGAGTTCTTCGACACAAGTGCGAAGAATTGACCGAGTTGCTTTTAAAGACTGAGAGCATTATTTGTTTAGCTGATAGACTTTCTTCTTACAATGGCGGGGAGAATTACAATTGTAGAGTTCAATGTGCATGACAGTAACACTACGTTCATAAATCTTTGAGCGCCCTCAAACTATAGGAAGCCTGCGGTCCTCGCAATGAAATATGTCTAAGGCGATGAATAATTAAGTTGGTATGAACAAGATCTACCCACCTCGCATGATGCATATCTCTTCTAACCATAGTGAAAAGGAACGCATTGAATTCAAGTACCCTATTCGGTCTATAAATGGAAAGAAAAGAACATTAAACAAGAAGTGAAAGGAAAGAACTAGTTCATATTACACACGCATCCTCCTTCTTGGAAATGTGCAGACTCTACCCCCCTCCCCCGACCACGATTTATTTTCGATGGTCAAAAAGCCTCGATATGGGGAGGTCGAGAGAGAAGAGTCGTTCTTCCTCTCGCTAATCCGGACTGCACTTTCTGCATATTAAAGTGGATATCATGCTGCAGTATAAATTATGATATACTAAGAACTAGCTAAGAATAGAGTTTTCTGTTATGTACAAGCTAGGACTTTCTATACTACTATAATCTATAGTTACATCAGAAGTATTCGTTCAACACCCCATAATAGCGAAATAGCAACCGGCGGCTTAGGACGAGACTGACTTTGTGAGGAAAAGAGCAATGTGAAGCTCGAACTGCTTAGAAGTCATCGTGGTACAAGCTTCTGAGCACAAAGGCGGGAACGGACCAGCTCGAAGTTCCTTGAAGCTGGAGTGCTGTACTTTGACATATTCAGACTGCCCGTTAGTTTCTTGTATTTCAAGGGCATGCTGATTTCAAGACTTCGCAATGAAGATTTAAACATAAGCTAGAGATGTTGTAATCTTGTATGGAAAAGTCATATACAGTGTGTTCGCAAAAGTAGTAGGACATTTTGCGAACACGGAACCCGGGGGAAGATGTAAATCACATACGAAATACCTTCTAATGTACTCTGACATGCACTAATGGATACGCCAGTATCTTGCAACTTTTGCGAAAGGGGTGTCCCTCCCAGGTCACGGGTAGAGCTGCAGGAGAATAAAACACGTGATGTCCTGCGATCCCAACATGCAACCACATTATGAAGATAGATCCGAATCATAATTTTATTGATATAGATCAATGGAGACCAATGAATTTCGGATTCCTTGTGGTTTCTGAATCTTTGGATATTTGCCCCAGGCATTATCCCCCTAGCCTTTGGAAAAGCGACCCCAATATCGATGTTTGGCCCCCAGATTTCTGAATTCTTGTAACCAGTCATCGTAATTGGGCGTCGTGTATGATGAGGGTATGCAGTAAAGGTAGCATGAAGATATATTTTTCGCACCGAAAGCAGCCAAGTGCAGTTCTTTCGGTGAGAGAAAAAGGACAAGAAATGATGGTGCAGGTGCAGGTGCAGGTGCTGCCTATTTGCTCCTCGGTTGTTCGCCTTACTTTTGCGCCCTGCTGTGGTTGTCGTTGTCGTACTCGTACGCCTGACTCTGAACTTCTCACCCAACTCTCTCCTACAAACAATCCAGTTCGTCGCCTCGCTGATTCGGTGAAATCATCGTCACTATCAAATCGTCCACTCCCATTCAAGGCCATCTCCATCTCGTGTTTGTCTACCTCTCTTTGAGCGCATTCGTGAAGGTTGCAGCTGTCGCCCGACAGCACCTCCCTCGCGGGCCCACGCATCGCCCGATCGCAAGTGCCCAGCCCAGTTGTCCGCCTCGCATTATTGCAGATTATATCGCGCAGTCATCTTCAGTCCATACCAGACTGCACTGGACGACTCCCCTCTTGGAGCAAAACACCAAAACACCCCAATTTGGACGGCATCTACGGCATCTCTACATTGTATGTACTGAACGACGCCTAGGATAAAAGCTGTGCTTATGTGGGTTTTCCTTACCCATTTCTAAACGCCGGGAGCGAGAGAAAAAGGAATACATGAGCGTGGCCAGTTTTCCAACACCGCCGACGCGATTTTGATAGAACATAGTTGTCGATATTTATGGTTAATCTTTTTCTTGATCTTTTTGAGCGATCGGCAGCTAATGTCTGTCAGAAAACATTAAAATGTCTCTTCATTCAACATACCGCAGTGGTGGTCACCCACGTTCAGTACGCCATCAAATTCCTAGAACCCACTCCTGCGTCAAGTAGTCCTTCTACTGACGACTTTCACTCCTTTTAGTATTATCCCCAACTTGCTTCTATCAATTCTTCAGACTCCGGTCAAATATATGGTACTACTAGGGAGATGGGGCCTCCCTCTTTGGACTTTCCACCACAGCCAGTAGAGATTGATGTTGATTTGAGTAGCCACTCCAGCCGGACACTTCCAAGTCCGTCACAGCCAGGTTCCAATGCGTGGGATCCCATTTTTTCTCATCCGAGTTTTGGGGACGCATCATATGGAGCTTCTAATATTGGTAGAATGCAACAAATTCCAAGTGATACTCAAAGTCGTGGACCTGCCCAGGATCCACTTGTCCAGTGGTACACAGGAAATGATGGTCCTTGGGTGCCAAAGGTCATTCCAGATGTGGCCATTGAAGAGAGGTTACACCCAAGACAATCAGGTAATCGTAGTCACGTCTCGTACGGAACTCAGTATCGACAACCCAATCCTTCTGATGCCGGATCCGTTCAGTTTGGAGTTTCTAATTCCGACTCTGGTTATGGCACTCGACGAAGTATTGGTAATGGTTCCGTGTTTAGTGCAGATATCCCAGACCGGGATCAAGATTGTCGAAGCCTAGCCGGACATGTTGAGAATCTCCAACCGTTCCATGCATTTCCAGAGATATTACCACCAAGGGACCATACCCGTGTTAATGATTGGACTCCTACACCCAAATCCACAGGATCTAACACACCTAGCTTGACATGCCAGTATTGCATGAAGCCAGTCAAAACCCAGTCAGAATTAAAGTGCGGCATTGTTTTCGTTTTCAACATATATCATTGCTAATTTGAACCAGAAAACATGAACTCAGGCATACCAAGCCATTCAAATGCCTGGTCCCTGGATGCCCAAGGCCAACAGGATTCAGTACCACCAATGATTTGGAAAGACATACAAAGAGTAAGCATCCAACTGCCATAACAGATCCAGCATCTACAAAGATGTATCGTTGCAATGTCCCAGGATGCAAATCCAGGGAGAAATCATGGCCACGTTTGGATAATTTCCGGAGTCACCTGAAACGTGTACATCAGAACCAGCTTCGCACTGATCAGGATTTCGAAGAAATAATCCGCTGGTAAGTAACTCAGAGGCACAGAATAAAACTTGTAAAGAAGCTTATTATGTGATAGCGCCGAGTTCTTCGAAGCGCCTCCTTCAAGCGGGATGCCAAGCCAGGAAAATCAAAGGACAATGCAGCAGGAATTCTCACATTCAGCAATTCCCATTCAGGATAATAATGATAGAAACGGCGACACCGATTGGAGCGGCAGTTGTCCAGAAGTGGATGGTTCCCCACCTCAAGACTTTACGGACCCCAAAAGACCAGATTTGGAGATTTCCTCTTCCCCTCCTTCTAGAAAATCCTTGCCCCCACCAACACCACAGGAACCATCAGCCCGTCCAGTTCCTCATTCTGACGGTCATAGTAGTGAAACTGTGCAGCCTTTGGACGTTTTTCATACTGCTCAGCCTCCACCAAAACCTGCTCGAAGTGGATTTACATTGGAAAGTGTTTTAGCTCCAGCCATTCCTAATGATGGACCCAACAAACTGCCAATTTTCAGAAGTTCATCTAACAATAACCCCGTTTCCAAACTAGTTTCTGAAGGTAAGGTGGCGAAGCACATCAGTGAGACCTCAGCCTCGTCAGATGCGGCTCTGACAAAGGTGATCCGAACTGCCTTGGATGGGTCTATCACACATCACGACCAGGAACCACGTTTTACCAATGGGAATTTGGACCGGAATATTCTGCCTAATGGACGTCCATCACCTTCTGGAAATGGTGGTTCGGGAAGCGAGAGTTCTAGTGTTAGATCATCCGACTCTTCCCCATCTGCCGTGTCTGATACTGATGTTACTGAATCCGAGGAATTGAAAAAAGCAGAAGAAATCTTGAAGACTATCCGTCATCTGGGATATACACTCCAAAAATATCCTAGTCGCTCGCCAAAGATTCAGAATCAAGGCAGTGCTGCTAGTAACAAGAGTGAGAAGAAAGTCACGTGTGAAGTCTGTAAAAGGTTTCAAGGAAGACCTTGTGAATTAAGGTATGTCACCCCACGCCTATCACTACACCTTACTATACTTCCTGCTCAGGAGCAACTATTGATAATTGATATCTTTATCAAATATAGGAAACACATGAAACGCCACGAACGGCCCTATGGTTGCACCTTCCTTTCATGTGGGAAGACATTTGGCTCGAAGAACGACTGGAAACGCCATGAAAACTCCCAACACTTTCAAATAGAAACATGGCGTTGCGATGGTTCTCTGCCTGAGGGAGGCCCTTGTTCCAAAGTCTGTTATCGTCGACAATCATTCCTGGACCATCTCAAAAAAGATCATCCTCTGCCTCCTTCAAGTCCCCTTTCTAATTCTCCCGCGTCAACATCAGCACTGTCTACTTCCAGTTCTATCATGGAAGAGGATGATACATACAGAGAAAAACTTGAATCTTGTCGCATTGGCCGCAACTCCCAAGATCGCTTCTGGTGTGGGTTCTGTGTTCGACTTATTGATCTTAGGAAGAAAGGACTGGATGCCTGGACCGAGAGATTCGATCATATTGATGACCATTTTATGGGACGAGACAAGTTTGAAAAGCTCGGGATTAGAGACTGGGTTCCTGTCGATGGGAGCACCAACCCTGGTCCGAAGAGATCCTTAAGTTCTACTTCTTCATCTTTGTCGCCGTCTTCTGTTAGTGAGAGTACAGAGGCACCGCATGAAAAGAGTTTGAAGAAGAGGGCTGCTACTACCACCGAAGATGGAGCAGCGAAGAGAGCAAGGACTGAGCTGGAGTATCAGATTATCTGTGTAAGTTGTTGCTCAACCCACTAGTGCCGTTGAACACCGCTGATCGAGGTGATAGTGTCAATGCCACGTCGCTCACAACCCGAGTTTCAACTCGGGATGTTCCAATTGCAGCGATAGTCACTCTTTCTGCGAGAGTTGTACGTCGGAATATCTCCCGCCTGTCCCTTCTAGGGAAGTGAAGTAGACAGATACATTTGGTGGAATGAATGTGGCGTTTCACTTCTCTCGCCCCTTAGGGAGGGCGGTGTCAAGGAGTTTTTAAGTCCCTCAGAACACCGGATTGTACGTGGGATGGTGGACTTTTTACTTTTTTCTTCGATTCGTGCTACCTTTGCTCTTTGGGTATACGGAACCTTTGGCGTTTATCTTCCAGTGTTTTACTTTTCTTATCTATGGCGGGAAAGAAAGGACTAAAGAAGTCGGATACAGCAGAAGTGGGAGGATATTTTCTTTTCTTCCTTGGATAAGCAGGCAGGCGGGTTTCTTGGATACAGTATCTTGCCGAACAGAAGATTAGGGGAATTAAACAGATACCATGGTTATGTTGGGATAAGGTTTCTTATGGCGTTGTCCTTTTTTTTTGTACGGGCGTCTTTTTTGGACTTTCTAAAGGAATTACAGTACAAGACTTGTTTTACTTTTTACTTTGAGTTGAGGTACTTGTTAGGTAGGGTGCGGGTAGTAGAATCAGAATGAAAGTGGGAAGGGGATGGTTTAGGTTACTAGGTTACTGTAGGCTTCGATATGGAGATGGAGATAATTTACTTTAATGTTACACGTATTTACTCATCTTGGATATTGGTCTTTTTTTTGGTGATTTGTTTTTATTAGTATATTGGGCTTGGAGGGATAGGGTGTAGGGTGTATAGACTCTAGGTGACTAGGTGTAATTCTCTTGGGGTGTCGGGGGAAGGGGAGGGGGGTATGTGGAGGGATAGATAGGTAGATAGATATATAGATATATTGATACGCCCTGCTACTACTTACTCGTATTATACAACCTACCATATATCCTGTGAAAAGTTGGGTGTTCTTCTTTTCTGTGTAGATGGATGGATGGATGGATGGATGGATGGTTGGGATGAGTGGATAGAGGGATGGATTGGGCTGGAGCTTAGGGATTATGGGGGAGGTAGGTGGGTAGGTGGGTAGGTGGCTAGGTAGGAATCTAGGTATCTAGGGTTTCTAGGGTATGTAAGTAGGTAGGTCGGTAGTAGATAAAGTAAGAAGTAGTAGGGTGGAATGAAAGTCGTAGAGTAAAGGTAGTAGAGGAAAAGTAGTAGAGCAGCGCACAGCCCACAGCGAAAGTAGTAATTTAGTAAAGTAGACTAGATTGTAAAAGAACCAAGGTTAAGAAAATATCTACGTAGACATAATATCCCTAAAGTCCTCCAGTATAAATCAATGAGTAAGATTACCTAGGTATAATAATAACCTTTTCTATTTGCTTCTACTATATAATATAGTATATGATATAATGTAGGAAGTGTAGTACAAGGGAAACAGAAAGAGAAAGAAAAAGATAAATAATCTACTCTACCCCAGCATTGTGATATCACCCAATAATCTTACAACATAATGCAGTCAGACCCTTTTCTCCTCCTCCCCCATCACATATCTATAATAAGCACGCAAATAACCTCCCGGAGTGAGTGAGACGGAAAAGGATAATGATGACTGTATTTACACTTGCATCCGCACATGTAAATGTAACTGTAACTGTGGTCCGCCTTTGAATTTAGTTTGCTTTGAGCTATATGTATGTATTCTAGACGTAAAATAGAAGCTCCTAAACTTCTTCGAGAAGGGGGAGATGGAGAAAGTGCAGCTTGATAGCCTGATAACGTAAAAATACGAGGTAAGTTTGCGTGTCGAGTAGTGAGCGCCTAATCTTTTCTGGATAAGTATGTAGTCATCTTGGTATACTTACTATACTGCTACCTTTTTGCCGTTTTCTCTATGTTGGATAGGGAAATTTGGTGATTGGCTTGGCTTGCTTAACACCATAGCGATGTCGATTATCGCTTTTGCCTGATGACATGACGGATGGGATGGGAATTATGAGGGTGAGGAGGGGAGCATGGAAGAGGGAATAAAGTTAGAATGAGTTGGATTGATTGTAGAAGTTAAAACAGGAATCTCTATCAAGAAGGTGAAAAGGGGAAAGGGCGTAAAGGGAACTAATTTCTAGGGGACATGTGATGGTGTTTTTTCCGCTCAAGCCCGTTCGTTAGCGGAGGAAGTGGCGAAACTCCCTTCTTGGTTTTTTTTATTTCGGAAACTCGTGGAAAAGAGGATGAAATTCCTAAAAGGGTTAGAGGACTGGATTTTTGATGACGAACAATCTATAAGGCCGGTAGATCATCTTGAATATACGAGTATATCTCCCGCTAACCTTACATTCATTAAATGACCATTAGTTCCAGCTCCTATTAGCGAAAAGGAAGGAGCTTTCCGTGGTATGGTCGGAGGAGCGATAAAATCCGTCTACGATTATCGTATATGCTTGTCATATCCACTCCCTCGTTGATCTTGGGGTTGTTTCGAGTTGATTAAGAATAAGCCACTAGTTCTTTTTTTAGTTCCATTGGGGGAAAGGATGGTAGTAGTAACGGAAGGAAGCGTCATCATGGCGGCAAGAGACGACTAGACGCGGTCATCGGGATATCATTGGAACGGGGATATATCGAGAGGGAAAATAGACGACTAGACGCGGTCATCGGGATATCATTGGAACGGGGATATATCGAGAGGGAAAATAGACGCTTGTATCCCCATAATCTTCTTTTCGGCTCTCGTATCGCCTTCCCCGCTGATGACGGAATATTCGTCTCACTTCAGATTTTAGACCATGATGACGAGTGGTAGTCTGATCCAGTGCATTGAATGACAATTTGAAAAGGATGTTAGGGAATCGAGAAATTGAGTTGAATGGCACTGGTGTGATTTTAGCAACACTCGCTTAGCTTTTCAAGGGGGGTTGAAGAAACGGGCCGGCGAAGCCACTGCGCTTCTTCCAGACTCGTTTCTTGCATACCAAAATTCGCACCGCAAGGTATAAGTCCACAATCTCCATCATATACCAGGATCTCTTCATTTCAATAGTTACAACGTTGGACACAACCCTAGGCCATATGCATTCCTCCTTATTGCGGCATGATTCTTGTGGGGATAAACGACTAGCGACATTGGATTCCTAACCTTGACTTTCTTCGGTCTTGAATCTTCTTCTGGCAGTTACCAACAGGATGTTCCTGGTATTAGGAAAGGCTGAAGGAGTCAGGGGATCGACAATTCAAGTGAGCGTTGACTGAGGCCCAACAATATTTAGGACATCCTTTGATCGACCAAAGCAGCTTTCACGCGGATTGATGATTATGATTCAATAACAGCTTGATAGACCATATTTGGGCTTGTTGATACTCGTTGCAAGAAGGCAAAGGATGATCGATAATTCGAGTATTGAGGCTCAAAATGAATGATTCGCACCCTGGGTGTTGAATAGTGGGCCTATGCTACGCCATTTTACGTCAAAGACTACACCCACTGCCGGGGTAGTCGTCGACTAATGCTGTACTGGCGTTTAAGGAAGGTTATTGAACCAAACTTTGAGCCTCTGACTTCTGGGATGATGAATACGAGTTGTTAGAGTTTGTTGGATAAGAACTCTTTCAGGGGTAAAATCGCTTGGGCTGGTTTTGATTTGTATGAAAACCAAAAGCAAGATAACCCACTACATCCAACATGGAGAGGCTTCTAGTGGCTTTGCAGGTCGGACGTTCTCGTAGAGAATCAATTTGGCTGTGGTGACTTTCCAACAACCGAGTTCTGTACCGCACAACGTTCTCACCAGTGCTGAACAAGATCTCTAGGGCTCGCTTGCAGCTTGTCAATCGCACCGGAAGCTTAGTTGTAGACTTTTGTTTCTGTTAAGCTTCTTGAAGGATTGATCAAAGTAGACCCACCAAACCCATTCGGAAATGATCTTCGAATCTTTGATACTGTCATCGAGCTTCACTTGATCGGACTGATTCTCAGCCGCAGCTGATAATTCTCTCGAGCCTTTTCGGACCCAGAGCCCCATCACTTGGTATGGAAAGAAGAGGGGTTGTAGAGGGGGTGAGCATCATCATCTGATTGGCTCCTCCCGTTTGTTTGTTGGCGTGATTTTGTCGATGCAATGCTGCGACACCCTCGAAATCAGTTCAGGGGTTCTCATCAAAGGGATTCGGTGAACGTATCGGTGTGGGGTCTAGTAGATGTTGGGTGACATGAACTGAGATTGACTTTGAAGTTATCTTCTGACTAATCTTTCTGTAACATCAGATGGGGCGCAGTCATCGTTTGGTTTGTCTTGATTTTCAATTTACAGACGAGACTGATTTCGAGGGCATGACCGAGGGCATCGAGTGAGGCTGTTTTACATAAGAGCAGTTCTAGAAGCGGGTATTCCTGTTGTGATCCGCCTTCGAGACGATCGCTGCCATCCATATGCTGCAGATGAGCAAAAGGACTGCTGACGCAGAGGTTGACAGGAGCTTGTCGATACTTTACCCAAATACTGAAAAAGGGTACAAAATTGCTGAAGAAAAGAGAAATCCGGGACGTGGCCACCCGTTCGTCATATTCTCACCGAAAACCCGTTTCGGAACGCATTAAAATTTCCGTACCTATGATATTTGGTGGACTAAACGCTTGTTGAATGGATACTAAAAAGAGCAATCGGCAGGGGATTACCAGGTCGAGGTGTTGCAGTTCTCCCCCAATCCCATGAGGACCAAATGCGAACCATTTTTTCGGATTGTGGATGCAGATAGTTTGCATTTGGGGGCCACACAGTACAGCTTCAGCAAATCTCTGTAAGGCGAGTGGGATGATTAACCATGTTTCTGTTTCGTCCTTCGGAGACCTCCACGTTTCTCCACCCGAGCGTCATTTTCTCTCGCGGCTCCACTTGGTCAGATCAGATCCAGGATATATGGAAACATCAAGATGCTGATGCAGATGCCACGCAATCCAGAAAAGAATTTCGGTGTGTGTGTTGTCTTTGAATCGGATAGCGTCAAATTAAAGATGATGTGCCGGACCGTGTTACCGCTTTCATAAAAATGAACCCGGATCGTCTATGATCCTCATCAGAATCTTCCTGGTCTCTTCATAGCAGTCGGGCGTCGAATTAGTGCTCGTAGTTTGTCACTTGATGGTCGAGGCTGCCTACGCTGCCTTATCTGCCTTATGTTGTCGTACAGGCGTCGGAGCTCTTGATTGGTCTTGGTGGCTGCAAGATGCCAAAAGCAAAGTGCGAGTTCTGGCAAAAAGCAAGCGGGATGTGATTGATGTTGGGCTTCTCTCTCTCATGCTCTTGCCCGACCACTGCAGCCACAATCTCATTGTTCAACATTTCTTCGGCGACTTTGGAGGGCGGATTGTCTTTAGTATTGGGTGGATGGTGAGTGAGTGTTGATGGCTGATGGTCGATGGGCGATGATGATTTGATATTGGCGGTGACTTGAAGCGGAGGCGCAGCAAGAGATGCAAGAACCCCGATTTTGACTAGCGTCACTTACAGGTAGCGCTAGCGGAGTGGAGTGGAGTGCACTAGGCTGGGGTCAGGGGTAGATCCGTTCTCACTCAGTTGTTTGCACTCCCACCCCCTCCACACCAAACGTTCCAAGGAGAGTGAAGCGACGGGCATGCTACAGTTGATGCGGCTCTGCTACACAATCGTGGCGGATGGGGGGAAATGTATGGAGGCTTTCGTTGCAGTGGTGGAGGAGGTGCTGGGGCTTTGTGCCTCCCCCCTGCCTACTTCCAGGGTTCTCTACTTTATCTTGTCCTTCCTCTTCTCCTTTCTGATATTGATCCGTGACAGTCGAATCCGCCATCAAAAGACGAGCTGCTGCGCCTTGATGATATACAGATACTCAGTGTAGACACCAACTGCACACCGTACACCTTACACGCTACCCACCTGTCAACTTACACCAAGTCTCTATAATCACCTTTGGTTAACACTTAGGCGCCTTCCTCTAACCCTTTAGTGCATCCTGACTCTCCTGCAATTACCAAATACCAAATACCAACCTTGGTGGAGGTTCACTGTGCATAGCCATACTCATACTCATTCTCATACACATACAAACCTACATACCTATAATTGTGTTGCTATTCCCCCGTTTTTTGTTTGTTCTCATCTCCACAAGTCAGTTTGTTACCAACTTCCAAGAGGACTCGACAGTGCTGATCATAGCAGAACCACCGACAACCTGTCACTCACAACATAGCAAACAAAGCAACGCACTCCTCCCTACTCAACTTCAAACATCCATTGGATCCAAACTGGTTATCCCACCCAACCGTCTACTCCAATTTCCACTTCTCGCGTCCCACGACCTCGGTACGCCCTGGAAGTCATTGCAGCATTTAGTCCAGGTGTGTTGAATTTACATCTCCGACCTCGATCTATTGCACTTCACAGTACCGCATCGACACCACCGCAGCAATCATGTCATCCTATAACAACCACGGCTCGGCCTTCCCAGGTGGTCCTCCATTCTTCCAGGATACCTCCATCAGCCACTTTTACACTCCTGAAAACGAGGCTGTGATCCAAAGAGCTTGGGCAGAATCCATCGATCCAATCCTCCGCTCTACTCAGAACATCCGGGATAATTCGTACCAGGAATCCAGAATGCCTTATCAGAACCAACAGCGACCGCTCGAGAGATTTCTTGATCAAACAGACAATCGCGTCCTGTTAAATCACGAGCAGATGCAAGGTTTCTCTCAAGCATTCCCGCACAACCTCAGCAAACCATCCGCTCCCATCCAATCCGTGCCTCAATCTTCCCGTACCAGAATGATCTCTCCATGCCCTTCCCAAGAGCCAACTTCAACCAATTCCAGCAGCGCAAGCCCTGGTCCGGATCCAGAATGGCTTAGTGATTCCCAATACTCCCCAATGATTCAACCAAAGGACGATTTCTACTTTCCTCCAACTGGCGCAACTTCCTTCATTGGTCAAGGTTTCGATTGGAGCGGAGCTGGAATTGCCCAAGTCCCTTCCTACTCTCGAAATAGTGGAATACCATGTGTCAACATGAGCCAAATCCAGGGACTTCCTGATATGCAACCCGAGGAAATGATTTACGAAGGTGGTGACGAAGGCTACGGCGCACTTGATATGAAGAACGAATACGCTATAGAAGTCAAGCAAGAGCAATATCATAGCCAGGCATACCAGTATCACGAAATCGACGAAGGAATAGGCGCGTCCATCAAAGATGAGGCCTCTCCTCAAGCATCTGGAAGTACTCAGACACACAATTCCGACATCGACGCAGAAGGCGAAGATGATGAAGATGAGGACGCCAACGACGAAGAGGTAGAAGAAGAAGAGGAGCAGCCCATCCAAATTCCCGAACCTGTCTCTGACACAGAGTACACACCCAAACGCACCTCCCGTCGCAAACCCCATCGCGCATCCCATTCCAAATCCTCAAAATCAGGAAGAGTCTCCAAATCCACCAACACTTCCAAATCACGAACCTCTTCCTTGACCTGCAAACAATGTCCCAGCCTTCCCATCCCCTTTCGCACCACCACCGACCTCCACACCCACATCACAACAACCCACCAACACCAACTCCGCGCCTACACCTGCGTCTTCCACTTCGCCGGCTGCCCCTCAACCTTCACCTCCAAGAACGAATGGAAACGCCACGTCTCCTNCCACATCACAACAACCCACCAACACCAACTCCGCGCCTACACCTGCGTCTTCCACTTCGCCGGCTGCCCCTCAACCTTCACCTCCAAGAACGAATGGAAACGCCACGTCTCCTCCCAACACCTCAACCTCACAGCCTGGGTCTGTGAACTCGGCCTCTGCGCCAAGTCGGCGCGCAAAAGCGAGTTCAACCGCAAAGATCTCTTCACGCAGCACCTACGACGGATGCACACCCCCTCATCCATCAAGCGAGGCGCCTCGTCGAAGAAGAACGGCGAGTGGGAAGAGAGGGTCAAGGAGTTGCAGCGGTGTTGTGTGGTTGTCAAGCGGGAGGCGCCCGAGCTGGTGGGCTGTCCGGTGAGGGGATGCGAGTCCTTTTTCGAGGGCAAGGGAGCGTGGGATGAGAGGATGGAACATGTGGGGAAGCATCTTGAGAAGGGGATTTTGGAGGGATTGGGGGTTCAGGTTAATCAGGGGGATGATGCACATCTTGTTCTGTGGGCACTTGGGGAGGGGATTATTGAGGGGAAGCCCGGATGTGGAGGTGGAGGTGGACGGTTTGGGTTGTGTGTTGCGGAGAAGGAGAGGAAGGGGAGAGGTGCGAGTGAGGAAGGGGATGTTGATGCTGAGGGGGAGGAAGATGTTTGATCTGATTCTATTCGTCTTTTTTTTTTTCTTCTTCTTCCTTTTTTCCCCCCTTCTGCAGCGGGCTTTGCCTACTTTCTTTGCTTTCTTCCTCTCTCTCGGATGCGGAGTATGGGGGCGGGATAACAGTCACAGGGTCAGGTCAGGTCTCTCCCCGTACAATACTTATTTACTTTTCCTTCCCGCTCCTTCTTCCAGGGCTGAGCAGGGACAAGCTAGACGATTGGACGGGACAAATTCCTTTCTTTACTCCGTTCATCTAGCGCTCGCATGCTCTTTTGATGTATCTATGAATTCCCTTCCTACATTCCTCAAAACGAATTTTCTTTTCTCAATACACTGGCTGGCTGGATGGATGGTATGTTTTGGCGTGGACTGACTGGTGGAGGAACTCGTTTGTAATTGCTTCTTTTATGGGATGGGATGGATGGGATAGGATGGATGGGATGGGATGGGATGGTAGATACCTTATGATGACATGATGAGATAATGAGGAATGGGAACGCACTTGGCCTTGGGACTTTTGATAAAGTAGTTGCAATATGAAATGAAATGAAAATATGAGATATATACTGAATATATTTGTTATTAATCACCTTTTTCCCTTTTTCTTTTCATTTCTTTTTTCTGTAATGTGGAATTAGGAATGGATTATATGGATGGGATGGGATGGGATGGTTGATCCTATGATGATAATGATAAGGGAATGGACTTGGATTTAAATTAAACTTGGTACTCTTAATATAGTAATTCCAATATATTAAAAATATAGCATGAAATACTCTCCACTCGTAAACAAGAACATAAAATCATCCACCGATTAAAGAACGCTCTATAATATATCACTATCACTCCTTACAACAAACCCACAACACCACCAAAACCTCTACGCATTAACATAAGAATCCCTCATTTTCCGCTTATTAAATATCCTTCCTTTCCTTTCCTTTCTATTTTATACCTTCCTTTACTAGGGTTAAAGGTAATAGTACTAGGGACTTAGGGAGTGTTAATTCTAGGACGTAGGTCTAGTTTTTAGGTATAAGTATATTTAAAACACTAGCTCTAATTACCTAAATAATAATAGATATAGGAATAATCTAAATATAGACAGACCTGGGCATCGATATATCGATGTCGTATCGGGGGGGTACTCGATATATATCGCATCGGAAATATATAGACGATACGATATCGCCAAGAATCCGATATCCGATTTTATATCGATTATCGGCACACGTGACGTGGAAAATATATAAATCCGGCCCCGGACCAATCAGACCCCGGGAGTACTTCGATCTTAGACCCACTAACGAAACTACTTAGGTAAGACCCTCTAAATTTGAGGGTCCCAATACACTGACGCCCGGCGTCAGTTTAGAGCTGACTAAGCGCGGGTTTTCACGCCCCCCCACCATCCACGAAC